AAAAATTTGTTTTTATTGTTTGTTTATGGTCCCTGGAAGGTGTAATAAAAATTTGTTTTTATTGTTTGTTTATGGTCCCTGGAAGGTGTAATCTCCCTCAGACAAGCCAACAAAGTGTTAGATAACACACCAGCCACTCAACATCATGTTTCATCACATTACTAGGCCTAATATGAATATATATATTAACGGCTGTGCATTTTTAAAATTTGTTTTTATTGTTTTATTACACCTTCCAGGGACCATAAACTTCCCTCAGCATTCAGTCTCAGTAGACTTTATGGGTAGTGATTTATTTTCCAACAATAGTAAGTTAGTTATACCCTGTCCTTTCTTTAGGGTTACCTTTATTATATTTATTGTAAGTAATTTAATTTTTATTATTATAAAGATTACTTCCCATTTCCTTACGGTTTTAGAATTAACCAATGTCTGTTAAACTGGTCAAAGCCGAACATAACTTTCACCACGATGTGGTATTTCTTACTTGGAGATTGGTCTGACAACTTCTAATTTTACCACAGTGTGAACACACACTGTTGGTCAGAATATTTATAATATTTTATTTTTATGCTTTTATTCTTTCTAATTCATTATTACCTTAGTACATGGACTTAGGACTAACCTAAGCCTCCTGGGCTACCCAAACCTAGGTAGATATTACTGGGTTTATGGACAGAAATATCATTAATAAGGAGTGTATCGAAATGATGAAACTTTCATTATAACTAATTATTATAAGTAATACAGTTTGAACATTATATTTAATTATCTATGCTCATTACTAAGTTATATATATATTTAAATCTTATCTATGTAAGTAGCATACTTTGATCAGAAGTTGATATCAATTCCTGGTAAAACAATCTGGCAGTTACCAAATGTATGTACATTAGTTTTTTCCGTATAAAAACCAAACAATAAAACAATATGAGGCTTCCCTTCATATAAAACAAAACAACTTTCTCATTCGTGTCTATTACAATCTTCAGTAATTGATTTTTAGTCTCAAATATGAACAATAACTAAGGACAGTAGTGTTAAAAGCAGCCACAAACCGTGTTTGATTCGTTGTCATCAACAAAAATAAAACCTTCTAGATAATTCTCTCGACTCCTCTGAAACTTTCCTTGTACATACTTCCCCGTTTTTATTCCAGCTTGCAGATGTGTCAGAGAAAGATGTTCTGGGTAAAGATACTTCTTTCCAGATTTCATAAAGTCTGACTAAAAAGAAGAATTACTGGGCTGTCATTACCACTTCAAAATCAAAACATATTAGTATTAAAAACAGCATTAAAACTTTTTTACTTTTACCGTCCTGAAAAATATTTACCTTAACCCGTACTTAACACAGTGTCTTGTAGCTTTATGAATTCAAGTATTAGAGACATGAGAACAGTTCTAGATGATTCCTGGGTTCTTTCATGCTATAATCTTTCTGGTTTGTTGAAACAACGCGACAATAAAAACCTATGATAACGAAGAATCCTTCTATTAGCATAGAAAAACAAATTATGGTAAAAAAATGTTGTCCGTTTTTGTGTGTGTTTGATAAACTTCTACGCTGTTTGCGAGTATTTTAGAAAATATTTCTTACGGTAAGTAACTTATTTCATTTTATTTAAACCTTTCTTGTTGTCCATATGCTCCAACTAAAATTCTACAAATAAAAATATTTCTCTCAACAAGTAAATGACGGCAAGTTTGGAAAAACCAAACAAACTCAGAACTGACTGATCATATATATTTTAATCGTCTGAAAGGAATCACTTTTCAACATTAAAATAAACTTGCAGTTTTTTTCTTAAGTGTCTGCACTGAAAACTAAACCCTATAAAACTTCTCAACTTACCCCCTTATTTCCATTCTCATTTGACAACTGTGCTACTTTATCAAGTAAATGAGGATGACCTTTCAAGCTCTTTACATATTCAGCGACTATAAAAAAAAAGAAAAAATTAGGCCTTCAATACATAAAAACTAATTTTCAAACTCCACAATTCAACGGATGATAACATTAATTCACAACCAGAAATGTTGGTGATAAAATATAGATATAACTTTCCTTTTCTCTCACTTAAATATGGATATTTGATCCTTCAAGGCTGTTCCTGTACACCAAACCACTCCGAATAAGTAAAACCTCAAATTCACTCGTTACTTTTCAGGAAAATTTTTGATTCTATTTTTAAACTCTTGTGAAGTGCTGGTTTTCACTACAGCCAATGACAACTTATTCCATAAGCTACTCACCCTCTTAGAAAAATAAAACCATCTTAACTGAAATGTAGCCTGTCCTTTTCAAACCTTAAACTTGTGTTATCTGATTCTATTGTCTTCAGGATACAACACAAAGAACATAAACACCTTGTAAGTTTCAATGAGATCACCTCTTACCTCTTCTCAAGGTAAAATAAGTTAAGATATCTTAACCTACCCCTATAGTTCCTTCCATCCCCAGAATTATCCTACTAGCCCTCCTCTGAACCCTTTCCAGTTAGTCACTATCCTTTCTTAGATTAGGAGAAAAACTGCATGCGGTATTCCAAGTGAGGACTAACTAGTGATTTATTTCAAGTGATAAAAACTGCATGCGGTATTCCAAGTGAGGACTAACTAGTGATTTATTTCAAGTGATAAAAACTGCATGCGGTATTCCAAGTGAGGACTAACTAGTGATTTATTTCAAGTGATAAAAACTGCATGCGGTATTCCAAGTTAGGACTAACTAGTGATTTATTTCAAGTGATAAAAACTGCATGCGGTATTCCAAGTTAGGACTAACTAGTGATTTATTTCAAGTGATAAAAACTGCATGCAGTATTTCAAGTTAGGACTAACTAGTGATTTATTTCAAGTGATAATCATTTCTTTTGATTTGTAATCATCTGTCTACAAACACATCCTAAAATTCTGTTACATTTATTAGTAGCAAAAAAGCTCCTCATCGATGGTTTGATTGACATATATATACCACTGTGCAAAGTTTCCATTTATATTAAATGTGACCAAAATTACGATAAATTAAATGTTTAAATCTTGAATTTATGTCATTTATCAAATATCTGCCCAACTTACAAATTCATCTAAGTCATTTTGTGGTACCTCAACATCATCAATACAGTTAGAAATACCTAACCCTCGACATCATCAATACAGTTAGAAATACCTAACCCTCGACACCATCAATACAGTTAGAAATACCCAACAGTTTATTATCATCAGCCAACCTTATTAATTTATTTAATGATGCCCCTATCAATAATATTATGTCAACAAAAAAAAAAGCAAACACCCAAGCATTTGACCCCTGAGATACACTACTAATAACAAAGATCCAGTCTTTCTGGATTTCATCAATAAATAATTTTTGTTTTCTTTAACCAAGCCACCATGCAATCCAATTAAATAATCTTCCCCCAACTGCTACTGGTTTTATTACCTCAACTTATCTTCTGTGTAGCAGCATCTTATCAAAAGTTATTTTAAAACCCACATAAATTGAATCGACTCTCTTTCCAGCATCCTGATAAGTAACATCATCAAATAAAGTTAAAGGATCAGTATCAAAAGATTTCCCTTTAGTGAAACAATGTTGGTTCTCTTTTATTATATTTTGACAAATGATTTTGTAAAGGTTCTTTTATCAGACTTTTTATAATTTTTCCCCAGAAGTAAGATCTATAATTTCCAGGACAACTCTTATCACCCGTCTTTAAAATAGGAGGAGTAACATTAACAACTCTCCAATCCTTGGGTACTGGCCAATTTTCTATTGACATACCGAAAATGAAAGAAGTTTAATATACCTGAACTTTGACCTCTTTTAAAACCTTTGTCTGATTCTGGTGCTATCTATTTTTTTCACCTCAATCATTTTATTTACCGTATGGGATTCATATCTACGTAATTGACATACCAAAAATGAAAGAAGTTTAATATACCTGAACTCTGACCTCTTTTAAAACCTTTGTCTGAATCTGGTGCTATCTATTTTTTTACCTCAATCATTTTACTTACTGTATGCGATTCATATCTACGTAATTGACATACCAAAAATGAAAGAAGTTTAATATACCTGAACTTTGACCTCTTTTAAAACCTTTGTCTGAATCTGGTGCTATCTATTTTTTTACCTCAATCATTTTACTTACCGTATGGGATTCATATCTACGTAATTGAGGTTATGTCCAGTAAAATACAGGAATGCTCATAATCTGGAATACTGCTACTCTCTTGTAGAAATGAATGATATAAAACAATTAAAAACTTGGCTATCTTACAGTCCTCAAAGAAAAACCTTGCTATCAGCATCCTACAAGGGCCCAAGCCTTATTTTACCATTTCACTTATCTTTAACATCCTTCAATAAATTCTTGTTGTTGGTTTCTCGCAAGCCATTTTTGATTTCCTAATATCTTCTTTCACAAGAACCTAGCTATCCAATAACTCTGAAACTCTTCTGTCAACTTAAACTTAGTTATCCCTGATTTTCTCTTTTATGTTAACTGATAACCAGTTAAGTTTGATCTTGAAAGTTATGCTATTCCTCCTTTCTTAAAAGTAATTTTTTTTTAAGAAAATAATTCCCAAGTGATAATCTTGACTCATGACCTCAAAAATTAGCTTTCTGAAAAATGAGGACCTCAAATTTATTTTAACCTCTTCGTGTAGAAAAACCCAAAATCTAATCGTACACTTTTCTCAAATATTCCCTTATTTCAACTCTTGTCATCACGTGTTCACTGATACTTAATAATAAATCTAAATGTCCATCCCTCCTGCTTAGCTTCCTCATCATTTGATATAAAAAAATAATATTATATCACTTCAAGAAATTTCTCACCCTCTATGTACGACTCTAAACAATTCCAATCAATTTATCTAAAGTTAAGTTCACTTTATTAGTAGCAACCTTGGTCTCATTATACAGTTTCACATCGACATCATCTGACTTGTCAATCGGCTTATAGCCACTGCCGATTAAACACGTTCTATCCATGAAATCCCTGATTGTGGTACAATCAGATAAAACCGATTTCCATTATGTCAGAACTGTACATACTCAGAATAACTGATAAATGTAGAACAATACTATATTAATATTAGAACGTAGAAAACATACTATATTAATATTAGAACGTAGAAAACATACAATATTAATATTAGAACGTAGAAAACATACAATATTAATATTAGAACGTAGAAAACATACAATATTAATATTAGAATGTAGAAAGCATACAATATTAATATTAGAACATAGAAAAACATACAATATTAACCTCTTGATAACTATTCTTGGTCATTCAGTTTGATAAATGTAGAACAATACTATATTAATATTAGAAAGTAGAAAACATACAATATTAATAACAATACTATAACTATTTCAGTTTGAACACGTAGCAGTTCAACTCT